GTTCAAACGGAAAGCAGCATAAATGTTGAGTGAGAAATATTGATATCAGTGAGACCAGCTACACCTGTTTCTAACACCTTTATTCTAAATGGCTGCTTTAAATATAGCTGTGAAACAGCCTTTGGTCAGGACTGGAAGCAGAAGCAGGGTTGAGTCCTTTCTGGGGGAACTGGCATGATGGACATGATGGTAAATAAACACGAAAATGAAGATGACAGGGTATTAGGGTTGTGCACAGTGTGACTAAAGGCTAAACTCCAGTCATGCATTGCTTAACGACGGAGATACATTATCAAAAAAGCATCGTTGATTTTGTCATTGCGTGAGCATTATAGAGTGTTCTTACATAAATCCATATGGTATAGCCTACTACATACAGTACCTAGGCTACATGGTGTAGTTTAAATAACGATAAAAAGTACAGTATAGTCAATGCATAAACCAGTAACAAGTATTATCAAGCATTATGTACTGTACTTAATTGTATGTGTCCCTGGCACTCTTGTACAGTGTTTACTGTTGTACTGTTTTACAGTAAACACCGCAGATCGTTCCCATAGCAACGCAATCGCACCAAGCATGTGGAGGAAACGGTTACGGCGCGGCCGTTTATCCAGGGATGCATGCGGAAACAGTACGGCTGCAGGAATCATGTAGTGTGTACTGATACATGCAGCATTCCTCTTTCCCAGAGAGCAAATAAAATAAGTAAAAGTGTGGCGTGGCTTAGCGTTAGCACTGGCGTTAGCGTTAGCATTAGCGTTCCAGTGCCTGCGGGGTTGAACTTCACGCCCGTCGCCCTTATTCTGTTGCCCCCCTGCCCAAATGTTGAGCTGGGGGACAGGAGGATAGCTTACTCTCCCATTGGCTGTCCGACAAAATTGGCACATCCTCAAAGGCAGCTAAAAGCAGAGGGGACACAATAATGGAAAACGTAGCCCTCTGCTCAGGAGTAAAAAGTGGAATTTCCCCCTAGGGTCAGTAAAGTATATCTCATCTTATCTTTAAAGTAAGATGCGCATTGAAAGAATGAACCACACATTTAATGGTGAGGTCCCTCTAGAAGAGGCATGTGGAGACGAAACTAGAAGCTACAAGGAGAGCCAGAGCAGCAAACCCTGGCAGCGAACGCGGGTCAGTTGAGCATGCCAGCCTTCCAAAGGGCGAGCTGACTGCTCTGTGCCCGTTTACAGCATAAGCCTGTTTCACTAAGACACCACGAGGAACATGACTGAAACCCTTTGATGCCACGCTGGAGAAAGGCCTTCGCGGGCATCAGCCGGCTCCTGCCCACGCCACCTCCAAACCAGAATGAATCACCGCTAATATACATCGGCGAGGGCATTCGTCTAAACACTCCCCCTTCTCCCTCCAAAACGGAGCCGCTTCTCAGTCAACAGATTGTGGGGAGAGGGGCCATCGCAGGACACGGCTGATGGCGTCCTCAGAGGCCCATAAACGCACAGCCAGCTCGCGCTTCCCTCTTCTAAACACACAACTGAGACCCCTTATTTATTTTTACAGTGCTTTCCTACACAAACTTTCTTCACAATATATAAAAGTAGTAACAGAATGGGTGAGAGTGCTCTCGAGAGTGACAGAGTTACGAGTCCAGTGTAAGCAGGGCAGAAGTTGACATCTCACTGCAGCTCACTACTTAGGAGAAATCGCTGAGTAATCGGCGTCGTTTAACATGCAATACTGCCTATATGCTTTTAGACGCTCGCTCTCCCTATCTGCTAAAGTAATCCTTTTCAATAGCTGCTTATCCAGTACAGAGTCACACCGAGCTTGGAGCTTATCCCAGTAAACAGAGGGCACAAGGCAGGGACACTGCGCTCGGGATGCCAGCCATCTAAGGGAACACACTCGTACAGACAAACACACACTAGGGCACTTTCAGAGACACCAACGCACCCACCCATATGTTCTCAGACTGTGGGGGTAAACTGGCGTACCTGGGGGAGACCCACGCAAACACAAGGAGCGCATGCGGACCGAGGGGAATCAAGGCCACAAGCCCGAGGCCACGAGACCACAGCGCTACTCACCCTGCAACCCAGGCTAAAGCAAAATGGCTTTCAAAATAATAATAATAATATTTTTTTTCCTCTTCTCCATTCTTCCTTCGTTCTTTCTTCATTCCCTTTTCCCTGTTTCTGTAATATTGTTATTGGTGTTGTAATGTGCACACCCACACCCATTCGAAGCACCTTTCACTGTTGTGAAAGGCGCTATACAAAAATAAATTGAATTGAACTGAAAAATTACAGTTGAAATGCTCTGTTAATACTTCACATTCAAAGTAAAAACAAATTAATTAGTCATAACTGTTTAACGTAAAGCTCTGAAAAGTAATATGAGACTGTACCATAGATATATACTGTATTTACTCTTCATGTAATGAATGTGATTCGCATTGTCGAGAAGTGTAATTTTATAAATAAATGTGCATAAATATGCTCTTTCTAATGGCCTTTTAGTTGTCAAAAGGGGTCTCCCTTAACCTACTCATCAGAGCTCTTTACGGATCCTCACAAAGAAATTTCTAATATACTTCAGTGCTCCCATCTGAGCCCCCCCTGGGGAGGCAAACAGACACTTCAGCCATGAGCCACGCGTGTCATACTCCAGGCAGAATGCACTTGGAAATGTCAAGGTCAGGGGGCGTGTCTCTCAGATCAGTGTGTAAAGATTCTCTCCTAACGGCCAAGTGTGAGGATCGCGGGTGGAGCACCACAACTGGAGAGGAGAGGGGAGGGGATCTGATTTCAGCAGGTGCCCGGGACCAGGAAACACTGCTGAGACCCTCAGCCCTTCTAACCCAAGATGGTGGAGCCCTTTAACGCGAGACTAATCCTAGATTCTACCAACTAAACGTAAAACTTTATAATCTAAAACTTTTTGGGCACATATGGGCATGTATAAGGTGCAAAATATATAAACCAAATAAATAATAGTCTGAACAAAGACTAAGGCCTCTTTAGCTCACATGAGAGATACTGTTTAAAGCTTTAATATGAAATCAAGGGGAGGAGCTTAATACCACCCCCCCACTCCCCAGTACATATTTTGAAGGCTTATTGCAGATCCTGAGTGATGCACGACATCCCATCCTCTGAGCATGGCAATGATTTTTTTGGACCGTTGTGGACCTGGTTTTCAGGACAGAATCTACCAGGTCTCTGAGACAGAAAGGCCATTATCTCCTTCTTGGATGCAGAACACCTCTGTAGTAACTTCAACACAAACACGCAAGGAAGCTTCAAGTAAGAATGTCCATTTAAAACCACATTGTCTTTAATTGGAGAAAGTAACCTCAGACTCCGAGGTCACAGTATCTCACACGCAAATGACCCAGTTCCCATGGTTGTCAAGATGGTGTGAAGATACCCACCTACCAAAGCCCAACTAACAATGTTCTCAACGCTCTAACCCAAACACTGCAAAATGACACATTCATCACAGCGTATGAAGTTAGGCAGTCCGATTCATTCTAATGCAATTCAGGCAATGCCAGCTGGAGATAGTCTCCATGCACAGTGGTTACCTGCCTGCTCCTCCTGACAGCCAGTCGTGCACTTTGCTGGGCTTCAGCTTTGCATGCAGTTTTGTCATTGTTAGCTGATGAAAGGTGAAAGGTGAAAGGTGACGCCCCTAGTTTGCTTTCTGAATATTACAATACATCTATTCGACGGCACAGTCTAAACGAGGACAGGAAAGAGCAAAGAAGCAGCACAGCACAAAGACACGCTGCGCCAGCAGATCCCAGCTGCGTGGGAAATGCTCATCTTGGGTGCAGGTGAGCCTCCTCTCCTGAAGAGGGACCTCCCCCAAGCCCCCACCCCAGCGCTCACCAGGGGCACGCAGAAAACAGGTGACGCTCCAGCTGCCGAGTCAGCATGAATAACAGGGAGGTGGAGGGGGGGTGGGGGTTGGGGGTGTCCAATCCCATCATGCATTGCGGACACCCTGTGCATGCCTTTGGTAAAGAAACCCCTACTGCTCCTGCGGGTTTGGCCGGCGTACCTTTGAGCTGGCGCCCACTCTCTGCCAGACAGATACGGAACAGAGAGCGCCCCCTGGGGCAGGTCAACCCGGGCGAGCGGAGCAAGCATAGCAGGGCACAGGCGGCACTCGAAAGCTGCATTTAAGCCAAGCGTAAACACAGAGCCGGCCTGTCTACTCTCAATATTACATTTCAAGACAAATAAGCCCGTTTATTGTTAATATTACTTTCTGGAGGACTTGGCGTAGCTGTGTTCGCCTTTCATTTCGTGGATGTGAGAGTGCAGGCCTCACAAAGGCTGAAAACCACAAGTGCGTCAGTGAGGAGCTCTTGGCTCCCACTGGGTGCACCTCCTGCTCTTTTCAGTGATCTTGGCCCAGAGACTCAGGACCATCTGTTAGCAGACGCCTCGTCCCTCCACGAGCCCCCGGTCAAGTGCAGGGGACGGTCAGAGCCAAACTGACACAATGTGTCTCGACTCGTGGTCTCAAGAGCGCAACAGTGACCTTGTGTGTATCATCGTGGAGACAGGGACACATCCATACCGCTTTCCTCAGTTTCCTTTTTTATTTTAGAAACTGGTATTTGAGTATTTATAAGCCAATTATGTAGACTGTCGGCCACAAAAACTTCAAACGTGTGGATGGTGATGGAGAATCCTTACAGGAGTTTTAGAGAGAGCCGTGGATTTCCCCGAGATCACAGAGCAGGCTCAGGAAACCATGCGGAAAAACACTCATATATCTGGAAATTTACTTCAGACAGAAAAACAAAAAACACCCGACGGAAATTAAACAGAGAACCGACCCGCTGACAGGGCGCCCGTCTTGTTCGAGGGCACAGAGCTCTGCTGCAAACAAGGGAGTCTTTGGAAAACAGGTTGGTGTGGCTTTTAAACACCGTGGACGGCTGTAAGTGCACAACAGGGGCTGTATCTCGCCTGCTAGCAATAGGCGTGTCCGTACCCGCGGAAGGTAGCGGAAAGCCTCACCTCCACGATGTCAGAGTTGGTCCTGCTCTCGTGCGGCTCGTTGTACTCTGTGTACTTCAGCAGCACCTTGTCCATGTCGGTGCTGGCGTACTGGAAGAGCTTGTTGGAGCTGTTGAAGATGATGAGGGCGATCTCGCAGTCGCAGAGCACGCTCAGCTCGTAGGCCTTCTTCATCAGGCCGAACTTCCTCTTCGTGAATGTCACCTGCAGCACGAGGAGAATGTGGAGCGTCTTAGAAGGCAGCGGGTCCCAGAGGCCAAGCCCGAGTTCTTCCAATACCCAGCCATGAAATAGGGAACTGCTGTTCACCCACCTGTGAAATCGTACCCAGCGATGCCTACATTCATAGACCGGAGACAAACGGAACTAGATCCACCAAATGACAGAGAAAATAAAACATAACGCTTTAAGCTCACGTTTTCCTGGTTCATCACTGTCCCCAATGTCCCCATCATGAAGGAATAGCGGAAATCTGGGGTGAATCTCAATATGTGCACTTCACCGTACTTGTGTTCCCATGTACCCGTTTTACGCCATCTTCCTTTGCCGAAGCCCAATTGCGATACTAAGAACACAAGTACAGAGGACAGTAAAAGTCCCCAGATGTTGCTTTTTGCTCCGCCCCAAATATCAAGGATGCATCGGTTGCATCCTTGCAAAATGAGACCAGTCCCATAATTCATTGCACCCCAAGTCCTTGGAAGGCAATTCAATAAGACTGCTCTTTGCCAAGACCACAAGTACAGTCTCTGCATTCTTGGTATTGAGATTCAGCCCTGCTTCATCTGTGCTCCTGAGGTCAGAGGTCATTGATGAAAGCAGCCAATCACCTCATGGACTAGACAGGCCTGCTTCTGAGCTGCGGTTAACCATTTCAGTCCTGATCCGGAGCAAGAGCTCTGTACACAGGCCAAGCAATATACTCCTGGGACAGCACCCCAGTGTATCATCAGTTACATTCACACGATGACTCAAGAAGCACCAGATGTTCGATTAAAACCAAACAGGAAAGTCCCCTGGCGGCATATCAGACGTGCACCTGTAACATTCCATTAGTGGGAGGTAACATGCAGCACCAGGGACTTCCACTCCAGTGAGTGAGAAGGGCCTCATTTTAATGTAAGTTTTCAAAATTCAGGGCTAAAAGTCTCAAAGTGTTTCTGATGTCTTTCAATTGGTTGACTTATCCCCCGATCACCCCCCACCCCAGCCCTGGCCTCTCCAGGGGTGAGCTGTTATATGCTGCACACTCAATCGACAGAAAAATCTGGAATAACAGAACTACAAATGAATTACTTAACACATGAACACCAGTTTCAGAGGCGTAGCAACAGGACAGGTGGTGCAGGAAATTGCCTGGGGCCCCGAGCTGGGAGGGGGCCCCCCAAGGGCGACTGATTACATAGTGCATTGCTTTTTTGTGTATTCTGTTTTTCACAAAACTGAAAATAAAGGACTTGTGTTTATTAAATTCTCTTTGTTGATATTATTCATTTAGACTGGTAATGCCTTTTCCCATGTTGGGCGGGGGTGGTCGGGGCAGGAGGGGCCCCATGGAGAATTTTTCAGTTAAGGCCCCCAGTGTCCCTAGAATCTTCTCTGGTCAGATTACTGAGTTTTATCACACAAAGTGTTTGTAAATGACATGGATGAAATGATGCTGATTGTAATTCAGGCCGAAGTACCGAAGTGCCCACAAAGCACGGGCCCTTCCCTGCTGTCTTACATCCGGACCCAAACAGCACACAGAACAATCTGCTCCCTCTCCTGGAGCACCGTGATCAGCGGCCGCAGTGCCGCTCCTGAATGGTGACCCGCTGGCTGGTGACGCGTGGCGAAGCGACTCTCACGGTGGTTCCGGGCGACATCATGAGGAGACGGCAGGTGGCCCTTTAGTCGAGGCGCCACGTGATTCAGGACGTCGATCCTCTGATGTGCTGGTGCGGCGGGTGAAAGCACAGCTGTCAGAGCACTAAGCTACATAAAGTCAGACAAGAGCACCCCCCCACACACACACACCCCCGGTCCACGGAGGCCGCCTCCCATCCGGCTTATCATTTGGACCAGATTCCTCCAAGCTCAGCGCAAATTAACATCTGTCTCTCCAGGCTCCCAGAATCCCCTGTGGTTTCCCTACTCTGAGTATGATTCTTCCAACGTCTTTGTTTACTGGGGGGCAGGGATTGCCAGAGCAGTTCGGATCCTTTACAAGTCCGGCATGGCCTGGCTGCAGGTTCGAGGAGCCCGTGCAGGACCAGCGGTTCTGGTCACACGGAACGCACTTTGTCTGCCGCCGTCCTGTCAGCCGAAAGCGCTCATTTCCCAGAAAGCTCTAAACGTTCCCTTACATGTGACCCCCCACCCCTCCCCCCAGCCCCACCGGCAGATTCCCATCTCAGATTACAGCGGTGGTCGGCGCAGTGTGGGTACGTTAGTAAAAGTCCGGGGTCAGCTGACCATCAGAAGCTTGAGAGCTGTGCGTATATCAGGACAGAGCGATCAAAAGGAGCGAAGCAGGAGGCTGACCAGAGCGACTGCGGCCGTCTGCCAGGCACACAGACATGCAGCAGTGCTGACCTCCGGGGCTGACTCAGCACCCCCCACTGCACCCCCCACTGCACCCCCCACTGCACCCCCCACTGAACAGCCCTGCTCTGCTGTTTGAAGGCGGCACAACGGCTCAGCGGGCATCACTGTGGCCTTCAGCTTGCACTCGCACCCAGTTTCATGTACACTGCTCTGCAAAAAGGCCCAGCGCTTCCTGAGAGAGACTCCCAGTATGGGCTAGACAGACACAATCTGCTGCACTCTATAAAGACTTGTTTTTTTACTTATCTATTTATGATGTTGGTCTAGAAGGAGCAATATTTCATTCTTGATTGTACGAAAGTGCATGGTAAAATGACAAGAGAGGAAATTCTTTACAAACTCAGAGGCAGAGGTGTAGGAACCAGGGGGGGTGGGGAGATGCGTACACCCGGCATATATTCGGCTTCATTCACTCCCCCTCCCCCCCCCAAAAACAAAACTTTGTATTTAATATTAACCTGGTTGGTGACATGGCATAGTTTGTAATGCACATCCATCCATCCATCCATCAACTTTGTCCAGTTTGTTTACATGTTTTACACCATACTTATGAATTACACCAGGTCAATATGTGTGACACACTAAGTGAGTGTGTTATTAAAATACCCCCCCCTAGTGGCTCGGCAGTCACACAGCTGGCCCCTGCCTTCACTTCCTTGTCATGGAGGATTAATTAGCTGCAGCTGCTGGACGGCCCCTAACCTTGACAAAGTGATTAAGGGTGACGCCCGCGCAGTGTGCAAACGCAGCACAGAGCGTTTCCAGTGACCTGCTTAAGGGGGGGGGGGAGATGTGGTGGAGAGGGACTTGGTGGCCATGGTGAGGCTTCAGTGGGGTAGCTGTAGATGCGCCCCCTCCCGTGGCTGGGGCCAGAGAGGCCGGCCCCCACGGCCCCCAGGGGCCCCGTATACAGGGTCTGGTTCCATCAGCTCCTAGCTCAGTCAGGGGGATCCTCTAGAACCGGAGCGAAGCTAAACCAGGAATGTGTTTCTGGAGTTTCAGGAAACGTGCGGCCGCAAGGTTGGGATCCGGATGAGACCAAACCCCCAAAAATCTGGGAAATCTCTGCTGGGCCTGGGATACGCAGTGCAGAGCCAGCAGGCCTGGTCGAATCACCAGTATTACCATTTAGCACAAGCTTTTCATCTGAAACTGCATTTCCCCGAAATCCAGCCATTCTGAGTCAAAATGGTTCCTAAAAAAATGAAACAATGGCCCCCTAGTGACCCCTCCCCCCTCCAGAACCGCTGTTTTTATTAGATCATAAAAACAAAGAAAATCCAGGCTTTAATAAGGGGGGGGGGCTAAAAAGAAGCAGCCCCCAACCCCCCGCGCAGCACACAGTACCCCACTGGCAGCCAAAAGATGTTCACACACACAGCTGTACACCACAAACCCCACACATGAACACTGCGATTCCTCAGAAGCTAAAAGCTGCCCCTGACACACACACACCTGAACACAGGTGAGTAAACCACATGTTCCTGGCAGATGACAGCCTCTCTAATTTGGATCCTACCCAGAAGCAGCAGCGTCGTCCATATCTGGACTGTTGTGCAGAATTTATTTTCTCCCACTGGGGGTAACAGCTTCCCACGCAGTGATTGTCAGGAAGCGGAGCAGCCCGGGAGAAGAGCATAATAATAATGTTGTCACTTTTCAGAGAAATGAGAACAGCTCTAAAGCACCTGTCACATACTCACTCACTCACACACACCGAGCAGCGTTAACCCACACAGAGGTGCAAATTATATCTGCTCACACAGTGTGAAGCGGCTTATGGGAGAGCCTTGGGGTCATCGCGGGGATTTTACACGTACGGCACGTTTTATTCGCCATTACTCTGCCGTTACTCTCTGTGCCCGCAGGATTGTGGAGGCGTTTGTTTTACTGGCAGCCCTGGAAACGGAAGGGCTCCACAGAACAGGCAAATAAATAAGGGCTCTTTTCCCAGGCGCCGGATTCCTTGAGGCTGCCTGTGGGATCCGCACGGAGTAGGCAGATGGGGGGGGGGGAAGCCCAGTCGTCCCAGTGAAATGGCATCCAGGAGACATGGACCCACCCCGGTAATGAGAGGGTGTCCGGGCCGGGCCGAGCCGCGGAGAGTCCAGCTCAGCCGCCCCGTTAATGAGAAGGGGCCTTGCGGCGTGGCGGCTGTCTGTGATTACCACCGGGCGGCTACGTGAGCAGGGACCACGGGCCCCCCAAGACAGCCAGCGAGGACACAGGGAGAGGTGGGATGAACACGTGTGCACACATTCTCACACACACACACACACACACACACACACACACACACACCTGTATTCATATCTTTGTGGGAGAAACCTTAATCCCAACATGTTGACCTTAACCCCTACCCAGCCCAAACAAAATGCAAGAATTTTGACATTTTTAGTTTTTTGATTGCAGTCACAGATTTTTTTTTTTTTTTATCAAATTTAATTTCCCCTCATGGGGCCCAAAAAAATGGTCCCAACGTCAAAATAACAGGATTTTATTACACTGTGGACACATTTTGGACGCTTTTCCACTGCACCAGGTACTGTACTTTTGCTATGGTACTTTCAGTACTTTCCCTTTTCCATTGACTTTCTGCTGAGTACCAGTACTAAAAGGTCCAGCATCTAAAGTACCAAACCAGTTGGGGTACTTCTTTGGTACTTCGGTACTTTGCGGTGGGACTTACAGACACGTCCTTTGTCGATTGGTTATGCAAATAGCCGCTTCAGAAACACACCAAAACCGCTGTCTTGAAAACAGTTACAAACTTAGAAAACAATGATAAAATAATTTAAAAATAATGATAATGGATGCATGGACCCGAGCTTTAATTGTGATCTGGTCGGAAAGTGATTTTGTTGAATAAATATTGGGGTGTTTATAAAACACAAAAGGAGCTCAAAATAAATTTCTCACAAACCCATCTAGGAGTGATTTAAACAGCAGGGATGAAAATGATTATGATTGTCTCGGAGAACACATGCAGCGCTCATGCAAAAACAGCGGAGGTAAACTTCAAACAGATTTTTAAACATATACTACATAAATCTTCAAAAGGAATAATCATCAAAATTGCAAAGCTTGCTACGGTTTTTTTCCCTATGCTGAAGTGAAATTTAAACCCCCCGCATTATAATGCCCATACAGTTTAAAGGAATTAAAAAGCCTGACCTCAACCCAGTTATCGCGGTCCTTGCAATGTACTGTAAGAATTGCATGGACATAACATGGGATGTTGGTATTAATATCACACATCACCCAGACCTGTGCATTAAAGCCAGTTTACAAATCAATACAAAACAGCCCACATCGCGTTGTGATGTCATTCAGTGCTGGCATCAGTTTTTACATCCTTTAAGTATGCAGCAACACACATACATGCACACACACAGGCACACACACAGGAACACGCACAGGCACACGCACAGGAACACGCACACAGGCACACACACACAAACACCTGCGTTCAGCAGCCTCATCGTCTCCCAGAGGAAAATCGCAGGGTGATGTCACCCTGTACCACACTGCAAACAACAGCCAGGTCACAGAGTTTAAAAGTGGCATTTAAAGGGTGGCACAGGATCCGTCTGCTTAGCCCCTTCCCCAGCAGCACTGGATAATTCCCACTCTGGCAACACAAAGAGCCACATCTCGCATCCATTCTGAGCTCAGGAGCATCTCGCACTCACAGCTGCTCTGTCTTCACCCGTCTGCTGGCTGTAAATTACACACATGCTTCGTTTGGTGTGTAAAATGGCATGACGATCCATTCACAGGCCACCTGCTGAAGCTCTGGTTCAGGTACCTGGCCCATGTGCAGGTGACAATGTAACAGGCCCGCGTGTAG